TTTCCAAGAGTGATTGCTATTACCCCAAGGAACCAGTGGATTTGCCCTTTTAGTACTGGCAGTCTTTTGGCATCAACCTCATTCAAAGGGAAAATGAGCTGCTTGTTTCGGCACAGTCCTAAAGCAATCTGTTTGTCTGTGACTTTGCTAAAGTGTCTCTGTTCTGAGATATCTCTCATTTCTGAAATTTTCAGCCCTGGAAGACCTACAGTGAATGATGAAACCGAGATAAAAAGAAGCCTTGAAAGAGAGAATCAGATAGCAAAGAAAATTTTCACGGTATTGTATCCTTGAGATTACTTTTAATAACTACTGTAGGATGTTTCTTCTCCTTCTGCCCACCCTCTCTTTGGGAAACAGTTGAAATTTGAGTCCTTAATCACCTGGGTTTTTTCTGCCTTCTGTTTTGCCTGTTCATTGCTCAACTGCTGCTGCCTAAAAGGCAGGTAGTGCTGCCAAGCAGCACCTATGTCTACCAGAAATCACTGATGGGAGAGGGTGGAAAATTGTTTTAAGTCCACAGAAAGATAACTTGTATGCTTATAAATGTATGTATGTAAGTTATATTAACTTATATTAGAAAGCTGTTTCTAAAGACTGTATTGACCAAACCAAATGTCTGATCTCAGACAGGTGGAAATGAATACCTATCTCCCACTAGCCAAACCAAGGAAGATCATGGAGGTGGGATGAAGGTGCTGCAAGTGAAGCAGGATGTGACCAGTAACCAGACTGCAAAGCCTCCTACCCCACAAGGGCTGGCAAAAGACAGAGCGGAGCTCTGTGAGTATCTCATTGCTCTGTTGAGTGTTTCCTCAATCCTCAGTCCCATCTGTTGCCCAAATGTCTCTTCCATATGGGAAATAGTGTTAAATTTGGATGCAACTCTTGAACCAATTTAGTTAAACCAGGGCAAAAGGTTGCATGCTCATTTGTATTCTGGTCTGAATAATTTATTTTGGCTTTGCAAATAGCTTCCTAAGTTGGTTAACCATCTGCATAACTCAAACCAAGGTGTTTGTTTTTATAGCAGATTGCCCTTATCCGAGAGCTGAAATCCATCTCCTTTGCTTCTCATAATTTATTGAGTCTCAGAAAAGGGTTTGGCTAAGGCTTGTGGTAGAAACACACGTGAGCAGGATGAGAGCCTGAATTCTCTCCCTTTCCGCTATTAAGATGGATGATGGCTCCTTGCTCCATCTTAGTAGTTCCATTGAGCTTTTTTCTGACTTTGGGCTCCTCTGTCACGATGCTCTGAGATAGCGTCCAGAGCTGGTGATGTGCACTTTAGCTGCACAATTAAACCCAGTCATGTCTCCTCTGTAAATGCTATTTTGCAACTTTAGGTAGAAGTGTGCATGGGCTCTATTCTGCAAAGGCTGACTCCTGCCTCTGCAAGCCGTTAGTGTGATATGGCAGCATTTCAAAGATAGAAGAGAGAAAAGCAGCTCTGTTGGGCTCTGTGGACGGACCAGGAGCGTGAAGGAGAAAGTGCAAACTGACTGTGGCTGTGGTTGTTGTTATTGGCGTGGTCTTCAGGTGTTTGTTTTTGGTTTGGTTTTTTCTTATTTTAAATCACTTCATAATAATTTTCTGTTTTGGCTGGTGTCTGTTTTCGTAAGAAATCTTGCTGGTTTGCTTGACCTTTGAACAGCTGGAGGTAATTTCTGTTGGGATTTTCTTTTAAAAGTACTCATGGTGAGCCTCCTGCTATTGCTTCATCAGAGAGGCTGATTCAGGGAATGTTTGGTTCCTATCCCACCCCTCCCACCCCCATAATTTTCTTCTTCAGGAGGGGTTTGAATGTTCTGCAGAAATTTTGGTCATTAACTGGACCATATTGTGGTGGTGCATGTTTCTGGTGACACCTACTGCATGCACCCATGTTCATATAGAGATTGGTATATTATATTATATATATGTGCATTTATTTGTGTGGCTGCATTTCTACATTACTCCAACTCTCTTAAATCAGTTTTAAGGATTTAATATTGCTACTCAACAGAGTTCTCCAGTAGTAATCTTTTTCTAACCTCATGAGGTGCAAATCCCATGCTTAGTTCCAGCCCTTGGGGAAATACATCTCTGGGATACTCTCCTTCCATGTCCCCTTTCTGAGATGTTGATTTACAGGGGTATTCCCAATGAGCTGGACTGTTATTTGCATCTTAGCATCTCCACCAACCATGTTAAGCCCTCCCTTCAATCACTTTTCGCAACATCCATGAGTAGTCTCTTTGGATATCTTGTGGTGAGGAGGATTTGGGTCAGAGCAGCCACAACTGAGAATATTGATGGACATTTCTATTTTTTTAAACCTAGAATATTGTAAAACTTGAATATGTTTTAAAGCTAAATATTTCAAAGCTTAAAATCTTTTTAAATGCTTCACTTTTCTTTCTCAAAGCAGCTCAGAGCGGTGACTTTCCTGGACTCCTGGAATGGAAAGTATGTCTGTAGGCTCTTAGTTGTTGTGACAGACTGTTACCCTCAGCAGTTGTCCTTTCCCCAAGAGAAGTTCCTCAGAAAAGCTTCTAAAGCAAAGGTCCTTTCTTGTTTCCAGTGCGCTACGTGTATGTTGGTGCTCCAAAGCCAGGGGTAGGAAGAACAGCCTTGAACCAAAACACTGGGCAGTCTCTGCAGGCACCGGAGGATATATATGATGATGTTGAGCACATGCAAGATAGACTGTGAGTATGGACCTGGGTTCTTCTCACTGGCTGTGTCTATGAAATATCTTTTAAAAACTATGCTGCAGCAAATCCCCATGTAACACTTCTGTCTTCTAGCAGCCACGGGTCAGATGCCTCAAGTCCGTTCGCTTCAGCCAGCAGTAAGTGCAGCATGAGGGGAAGCTCGAATGGGAGCTGCTTTTAATTTGGGCTGGTTCCCGGGAAATGATGTGAATAACTTCATTTAACTTTCAACACCTATAGTGTCTCCTCCTGGCTGGTTGTTCTACATTCACATTAAAACCAGTGGGAAGCAATACACATGTCTAGCATGGAATTCATTTGAATGACCTTGAAAACTCTGTAAGAGTAAAATGTAATGGCCTGGGTGCAATTTGTCCAGCAAACCTCACCTCATTGCTACTGAATGTGGTTTGTGATAATGGCATGCCTTGGTTTTAAGTTTCAGGAAACAGCTACGAAGAAACATATGAAGATGTTGAGACTGGGGGTGATAATCCAGCAAAAATGGAGTAAGTTGCAAATCCTTAGCCCGTATTTTGAAATACTGACTTTGATCTCCCGTGCCAGGTACTGGCTGGAAGCCTTTTTTTCCTAATACAACTGCAGAAAAGTTGTCGTGTGGGTGGGTTTCTTCCCCTTCTTCCTCCCTCCTTCCCCTTTGGCTCATACTTAGGGAGAAAAAATAGTTACCAAAATTAAATCTGTAAGCAGCGAGGCCTTTCTATTCGAGCTTGTAGCACTCTCCATCCTTTGGAAGTACTCCCCTTACAGACCTCTGCTTGCTAAAACACACAGGTCAGTCTTGCTAGTCGCCTCTTGATCAAAGGTCTTGCTCAGCTGTAGCTAAGAAATGGCACATTTTTTGTGTGCCAAAAGAGGTAATGCATGAGGGACAAATGGGGGCATTGTCCCCATAAAAAGGGACAAAATGCTGACATTTCAGATCACAGAAGTTCAGAAAGCTGAAAGGAGCCCAGGCTGACATGCTGTAACTAACTTGCAACCTGCTCTTTTTTATATAGCGTCTCAAGATATTTGCTTCCATGGGGTGTGTTATAAAAGCAATGAGTTTTGCAGCCTCAGGTTTATACATTGCCTGAGCTTCCCAAATGGATTAAGAGGTGAAACGTGAAATTAGTTGTGATTTTACATATTAGTTTTGTGTGGTTCCCTACCCTCGAGCTGTAAAAGATTTCCTGCATCCCTTTGCAAGAAATAGAAACAGCCTTTGGGAACAGCATATGGGCTGGGGATGTGGCATACAATTGCTTCGAGTGCATCTGGTGGCTCTCTTCTAAGAAGCAGTGTGGGAGGAATAATAAGGTGTTGCTGTACATCTGCTTTTCCCTTATGGATGTGAGACTCATACTGGCTTGCATCTAGGTTCAAGTCTAGCTTATGCATGCATGTAGAGCCTGTGCATTGGAGAGGGAAAAAAGGTACAGGAAACCTGAACCCCTGGAGGTGACTGGGCACTTATTTAAAGGTGAAAGTGTTACTTCTCTGCAAATTGTCCATGGCAGTTGGGTGGTGGAGGTGCATGAGCTTCTCAGGCCAGAAGGTAGAGTTCTGCATCTGGTTCCTGAACCAGCCATGCATGTCCCCCACCTCCTGGGAAGCGTACCCAAGCCTCTTCTGTGCCTCTCTGCACATGGGTGCTTAACAGCAGCAGAAATTACACTCTGTTGTAAATTCACAGAGGAGAGGTGCGTCTTGCTGGGTTTGCAAGGGAATTTTGTGACAAAGCTAAGGTTGGGAACAAATTCCAGGGGTTCAGAGGTCAATATCTTAATCCCCAGACTGGTCTTTATGTAATCTTTCTATTGATCCCACATGCAAGGTTAGGTGTGCTGATGCATGTAAGGTATTTTTAATAGCACTTGCGCGTGGGTAATGTTCCCTGTGTGAGGATCTTGGTTCTTCACAGATACTTTATTAGAAAATTGTGTAGCTTTGCAACCCCCATAAGCTTCAGGATGGCACAGACAGATGCTCCTGATACTCTACTTTAATGTGGACTGCATGCTTCTGGGGAATTTTTTTCCCTTTCATCAGGAATTTTTACCCCAAATAAACCTGGATCATTTTGTAGTTGTTGGGTCAGAGGAGGACAACTTCAATTACCACAGGAAAGTTTAAAGCTAAGCAAAGATTTGAGCTTGGACACTATAATTAAGCACCTTTTGCTGCACTGGTGCCTATCCGTCATTCATCCGCATGATGCTGTTAAGGCTTAAAGCCTACTGCTGAGCTGAGGTCTAAGGTCTGCTGACCTTCCTTTACCTGCTTCAGGATCTCTGGGGCTAAGAGTATTGCAACTCTCACACACTTCAGCACCTAGAGCCTCTTTAAATTAAAATCTGTTTCTCTTTTGGACAGGACAGAAAAACAAAAAAGATATGGAAACTTGTTTAAGATAGAAAGGTTGAAGCTGAAGAATACCAGATTCAAGGAAAACTTAAGGTAAGAAAATGTTGGTTGTCCAACCCCTGCCCCCTCAAAACCTGAGCAATTTATATTTGCAATAATTTGAGAGCAGGAGGTCTAGGAGTACGGAATACAGCCTCATTTTGAAAGTTATAGAATCATAGAATCATAGAATGTTTAGGGTTGGAAGGGACCACTAGTGGTCATCTAGTCCAACCCCCCTGCAGTGAGCAGGGACACTGCTGACTAGATCAGATTGCTCAGAGCCCCATCCAACCTGGCCTTGAATGTTTCCAGGGATGGGGCCTCCACTACCTCTCTGGGCAACCTGTTCCAGTGTTTTACCACCCTCATTGTAAAAAATTTCTTCCTTACCTCTAGCCTGAACCTACCCTGTTCTAGTTTAAAACCATTTCCCCTTGTCCTAACACAGCTGGCCCTATGAAAAAGACGTTCCCCATCTTTCCTATAGGCCCCCTTTAGGTACTGGAAGGCTGCAATCAGGTCTCCCCGTAGCCTCCTTTTCTCCAGGCTGAAGAGAAAGTTATGCCAAAAGCGCTTCTATTTACTCGTTAGGAGCGGCTATGGCAGATGTGGCCAATGGTCCACCTGTGCAGCTTCTCCGAAGTCCCTGGCATTGGGAAGCTACAATAGCTGGTCCTCAGCGGTGTCCAAGTTTTCATAGGCTTCCTGCTGCCTTTGGTACCTTTCTGGTACTCAGCATGATGCAGGTACACAAGGGACTGTAGAAATGTGATACTTGCTGCCTGGACCTGTGAGCCAGGATTAGGCAAAGGCTTGCTGATGTGGCTCTTAAGGGTTGAGGTTTTTTATTCCAACTACCATTCACAGTCAAGCTGGCAACAGCATCTGCTGAAGAAGTTTACTGTTGAGTCTGTAGCCTAACAAGTTAGAATAGAGGATATTGTGTAACTTCCTATAGTGCCCTTTCAGGTACTCTTACTTCAATATTCAAAATCCTGGCTAAGGTCCCATGGAAAGCACCTTTTCCTCAAACGCACATTAGCTGCCTACAAAACCTGGTCCTCCACCGCTGCCAGCATGTGCCTCACCCTGTGCATGGTGCCTGAAGTCCAGGCAAACGCTACTTTTTCTATTTATTTGGAAATTCCAGATTAACCCTTTCCTCTTTTATATAAGGAAGGTTTATTTTACTTAAAAACCTTTTCACACTAGGTGCTCTGCCAGCGTCAGTGGCTCCTTCCTGCATTACTGCTACGTACCATTATAGGGAAGGAGCCACCAGGTTTCACACCATTCTCTTGTTGCACAGAACCTTTAAAGCTCCCGCAAGCATCTTAGGTATCTACCATCATTATCACATTTAAATTCCTGGGCAACCCATGATATTGGCAGACTACAAGGAGGGAATTACTACTGACTAGAGCTACCAACTGTCCATCAACCCTCTAGCTACTGGGAAGGGGTGTAGGGGTGGGCAGGAGGAGGCTGCTTTTGCCATATTGGACTGTTCTTTGGATGCAAAGCAGAACTTTCATAACCTGCTTGATGAACACAGGGCTCTTGTTGCTGCCAGAGGATGAAGATGCTTATTTAGCAAGGGATGTAACTCTGGGAAATGCTGTTAGTGTCACAGAGCCCGTGCACCTAGACCTACCTCCATCACTTCAGTAGCATGCGCTGCATGCTGCCAGCTTGTCGGTGCTCATGGCATTCTGGGCAATGCTGATGTGCAAACTTGTTTCTAAAATCTTCTTTCTATCCACAGATTGTTTTCCATTTCAGTACCAAATTTAGGTAAGCAACATACATGTATCTGTCTCTCAGGGACTTGTATGTGTGTGTGAAGAGGCAAATGTATTGCACAATGGAAAATCAACTTTAGGCATCGTGCCTTTCTCAAAATCATGTAATGTGGCAGCGTTAAATTTGAAGCCTTGATAGAGATTTGTGCTTCATTTGAGGGTGTGTTTTTTGCTTATTTTGGGGTGGTTTTCTTTGAAAAGGAGCATTCCTCTTGCACATCAGAATATGTTTAGGAAGGCAACGTGTGAAGCAGTCCACACTGAGCCACTGCTTCCAGGCTGGCGGTGGGATTTAACAGCCTACTGGGCTCCAGCAGCAATCTGTAAAACTTTGCTGCTTATCACTGTCTGCTGGAGGGACAAGTTCATGCCTTGTGTAAATGGGGGTGGATGCAAAAACTGTCCCCACTAATCAAGCCTTGAGAAGGAGCTGGAGTGAACGTACCCACGTCCTTGGGATGGAAAATCTGCCCAGGAGGACTGCAGTGTGAAGCTGGAGCTTTGGTGCTGTTCCTGCTTCATCCCTGGAGCTGGATGGCCATATCCATCCAGAAAGCTGCCCACAGACACAGCTAACAAACCCAAGCGTCCTGCCTTGTGTGTCACATTGCCTTGGCCCCTTTGGGTTGAGTGACTAGCAGCCACCCCAATTTTCCTCTGCAATACATTGCTTTGAGTACCGGACAGAATGACGTCTCCTAATAATTTTGTTTGCTGTGTTTTGGTTGACAGAGGCTGTTTCCCAGGAGGACATGGTGTACGACGATGCTGAGGTGGGGCAGAGAGCACCGAGGTGAGGGGGGTGCCCTCTCCTGGGGCTGGCCTCAGGCCAGGGAGATGTTCCTGGCACAAATCTGTGCCCTGGGGAGCCTGGGGTACCACAAGCCACCGAGGGTCATGAACTGGTTGGGACTCAGTCCTCTGGAGACAGTCCAGGTGCCCTCTCCATGTGTGTTTGATTTGGCAAGTAGCATCCCGCAAAATGTTTCTTCAATGCTACCTAGTTATTGCCAGAGACATGAAAAGGAGAGAGCTGCTCCCTGAAACATGTGAAAATTCAGTTAGCTTTCCTAAGGAAGGAAAACTCCAGCTCCCAGACCCGATAATCAGCCCCATCCTGGCAAGCTGCTTGTCAGAAAAATTACTTTTAATAGGAACAGCATGTCTTGATGTCTTGCTGCTAGATGATTGTGGCGGCAAGGCGTGCTGGTATAAATCACAGCAAGTGTTTGCATTTCAGTGGTGGCGGTGGGGTGAGACAGAGAGAAAAATCACGACTTTGTAGGTACGCGGGTTTGGGGAGGGAACACAGTCTGCTGGAAAAAAACCTTGAATTTCTGTGTGTGTCTTTCCCCTTCTCTCAGAGAGGAGGACCACAAGTACAAAACCTGGATGCTGAAATTTCTAATGGCAAAAGAGGATAAGGACCAAAGGAAAAGCAGCAACGACGTGGAAAGGTCTTGATTACCATTCTGTGCTTTCCCCTGTTGTCTAACTTCATATGTGCGTCTGTTGAGTCGTTTGCAGGAGCGTGATGCCCCTGACTGCGCAGATATTTTGTGTTGGCTGCTGCTCCAGGGTCCTTTCCCTTTGAACCCAGCTTTCAGGAAACTTTGCAGAAAACATCTTGAGGGCAAAGCAAACTCTTGGATCTGTATGCAAGCAGGGGATACCCCGAGGGTCTCATCCTGAAGTTGTATTGTGTCTTCCCACTTAGCTGAGACAAAAAGCTGTTACTTGCTATATATTCAGCTGCGTGTCTGCTGTGCCTAGTCCTTTCCTTCTTTAACTGGGCCTAGATTAAATATTTGATCTTAGTGGATCAGCTATTGCTATTTTGGTAAGAGCACTGTGTTTAGAAGCCCCGCACACAAGCATAGTAATTACCTGTGTGCTCCCCTTGCCTTTATTTTAAAGTATGGATTTCTTGGGTCTTCTTTTTCCAGTTGGGTTTATTGCATTGCCTCTTGCCGCACCATTTATGCATAAAAGCAACAATAAAACTTTTTGTTACCAGTGCTGCAAAAACTCTCATGGAAGTAGGAGTTTTCATTTCCCTTTGAGATCAGAAAATTGTGTGTTGCAAAGAGCTTTTTCATGACCCAATACCTGGGACTTCAAACAAATGCAAATCGGAGATCTATTTTCTAGGTTCTTACCACAGAGCTCCTGCATGGGGTTGCTCAAACACCACTTCTTGTGTTGTGCAAAGTCTGTGTATAATTTTACAGACTATCAGGAAGCCGATGCAATTTCATTGGTTCTTAGACATCGCAGGTCCTGCAGGCAGTGACTGCCAAGGACGAATCTCTTCATAGCTTAAAAGTCCCTAATTTCAACTCTTGTTTCCCTTCCTCTTAAGTGCATGAAAATTAGCTAAGGGTGAATAATTTCTTGCAAGTGGGTGTTTTTTGTTTGTTTAGTTGTTTTTTTCCTGTCTAGTTTTAAAATTAATGCCGTTAGCTGGAACTTCATGTACAAACCAGAAAGAGTGGTATCTCCATACCCAGGGAATGCCCCAGCATGAGTGGCCATTGCCCCTCTTAAGCTGGGTATAAGAGCTTGTTTTTCACTTTACAGTGCCATATATATGTCTGCTTGGGTGACTGTCTCCTCCCTGTGCTAAAAAAGCAACAAAATCTGCAGAGCTGTGTCAGGCCCCACTTCCATAAGTGACTCGGGATGAGTTATCTGGGGACCCTTTATGTTTGAATATAAATAAAACCAGAAGGAGACAAATTGCTGGGGGAAAAGTGAATTGTTGACTTCTGTAAAAACACAACTGATTTGAAACACTCGGTAGTTTGTTCCCACGCTGCTTACAGACAAAGCAGTTACTCCAAATGGAGATACAAAATGGCTCAAGTTATGCTCACCAACAGATTCTAGTTGTATATTCATCATTTTATGAAAAATAGCAATGTGAATGGTGTGTTTTGCTCTTCCAAGAGTTCTTTGCAGAAAAGACTCTGAGTTAGGCTCTGGGTTGCATTTTCCCTTGTGCCAGGGCTTATTTAAATGGAGCTCAGAAGTGTGTGTGTGTCTCTCTCGATGCAGAAACATCTTCAAAGTCAAGAAGAGCAATGCAGAAAAAAGCAAGAAGATGGGAAAAGAAGAAAAGGTTTTTAGAGAAACATTTATGGTATGTGTCTATATTTAGGGAATTAGCTATATCAGAGGAAAGCAGCTATGTGTTATGCTTAAAAGTCACACAGTGGAAAGCTGTTGGCCCTTAGATATGCTGGGAGAGATGTCCAGCTGAACTGCTGCCTTCTCCCCAACCTGGAATCTTCAGCAGTGTTGCTGGTTTTTTTCCCCCCTCTTCAGCCCCAAACAAAGCCTCACAACCCATCCTGAAATCTGTTCTCTCCATCCCTCCTCTGCCCTTAAAGACATCGCACACGAGTGTAGAATAACTAATGCTTTTATTCCTTCTCTGCAGTATGACAAGGAGATCAGTGTCATTAACACAGCCACTGCTGAGTGCTCGGTCCCCAGTAAGAGGAGAGTTGATCTCCCGGTCACAGCTGGAGAACAGCTGGACGTTATCGATGTCACGGAGGACAACGCAGTGATTTGCCGCAATTCAGAGGGCAGATGTAAGTTTGCAGAAAAGCTCTGGCACAGGCGGTCACTTTTCAATCCAGTTTTGAAGGGCAAGTAACAGTACGTTCTTTGTGCTCAGCCACTGCGACTTTATTTGCTCAGGAGTTTACTAATTTACTTCTTTTTTCCCCTTCTCTCAGATGGGTATGTTCTAGTGGAGCATTTGAACTTCAGGTAAACTCAGCTTTTATTTATTATGATGCATATTTTCTTCTCCTTCCTGCATACAGATACCTGAGATCTGGAGAAATGTACTTAAAACTTCTGAAGGCAGGGGAAGGTTAATGTAAACAGCCAGTATTAAAAATTAAATAAGTATTTCCAGTTTTAGTCTGCTGTTATACAGGGTTCCAATCCAACTGCAGCTAAAAAAAGCCCCATCCAGTCATGACTTCTATAAATTGGAGATTCTTGACTGCCTTCAGATATGCTGTATTAATTCACATCTGCTGCAAACATGGGCCACTCCATGTGCATCGCCTTGCCAAAACACACCCTTAAATTCCCTGCTGCAATATTATTTCCTTGAAGGCTCATGCATAATTGATACAAATGAACCTCCTATTGCCCAGGTGCCCATTGCTGTGAAACATTCTTTTTTTTTTGAGACAGACAGTACTAACTGCCCCGGGAGCGGCTCTCCCCTGGAGAATCCCTGGAGGTCTCTTGTGCTTCCCACATCCATGAGAGTCCACGCTGGTCAACTGTGGAGAGCTGATACAAATGTAAATAAAGTTGGTTTTTCAGGTTTTGGTTTTTTTTTTTTATTTTTTTTTTATACTTACACTGTTAAACATGCAAGAGATGTTTCCCTTTTCTGTCTGCTCTTTAGAGCATGTCTTCACTGGTTATCTCAACATCAGTTGTGTTCAGTATTTCTCACTTTTTGGAATGCTTCACTGGTCAGCTCTGAAATAGCCGTGGCATTTCTGCAATATGCATGAAAAAAAATTGTGCAGTTTAACTGCTCCATATTGTTACTGTCTGTTTTAGGTGCTGGAATTGCAAAAGATTCGCTCTTTAAAAAGCAAACTGAATACAAACTGGTTTTGGTCTTGACAAAAGTATTGAGACAAGAAGTATGCACCGCCACTCTTGCTGGGCTAAATATATAAAATAGTGGAAAGCTTGACTCATTTCTTTCCAAAAAAACATTTTAAAAGAGTAAATAAAGCATTCAGTCAAAATTTACTTTATTTTTGTAAGCGAACTTAGGCATCCCAGATATGTAAAGGCTGACTTTTGGCTCCCCCTGACTCGCAGCAGCAGGCAGGTACCCAACAGTTGCCCCTGTGTTTGGGCTGTTCTCTGCTGTGGGCCTGGAGGATGATTGCTTATTTTAAGAAAAATGCTCCTAAATGTAGGAAGAGAAAATATAAATTGGTAATGGCTTCTCCTTGGTGTATCCAGTGGATACCTTTTCAAAAGCAGAAAAATGTGGATAGGGTTTTTACATGGCTTTGGAAGAAAAAAACCAACAACACACCCTTAAATATGACTGTAGTGTACAGCTTCTGCCACTCCCTGGCACATTTTAAGAGCTCATATCAGTTTGCTCATAAATATCCTAAAAATGTAGATGGTTTAATTAGAAATTATTAAATGTTCCAGGCTTAAGAAAATACAGCAAAATAAAAGTGCTGTTTGCCACACGGCCATTTCAAAGCTGGCATAGGAGACATCAGAAAAAACAGAGCAAATATTTAACATTTACTTTTAAGTCTATACAGGCATTCTTATTTATTTTACCATGTGGTTATTATTAAGTGCATTGGCCTGCATCCATCCTTGCAATAAAAAAATAAATAAAACAATCCCCTGTAAGCATGCACAGCTTTGCAGGCTTGCCAGCCCAAATATTTAGACTTCTCTAGCAGAGATGGAGAGTTCGGGGAGCTGAAGTGCGTGTTTGGCTTCAGAGCAGGCTGGGACATGTACTGTGTCCTTCACCTACAGCCTTTGCAGGGAATTATCCCGATGGAAGTTGTGCACACAGTTTACCTGGGGGACTTTTTTCCATGGCAATGTTTAGGATTGATCCTGTGAAGAAAATGCCCCCTTCCTCGACTCCTTCCTCATCCTCCTCCCCATCCAGCACTACCTCTGAGGTCCTGAAGTCTATTAATCACACGCTCTGTAAGCACTATAGGCAAATCTTGTCTTAGCCACATGTGCTAGTTCTTTTTTGCCTCCTAAGGAAGTTATTTAACATGTCTGTCTTTTTTTTTTTTTTTTCCTTTAAATTAAGTTTAAAAAAACAAATCCCCCCATATATCCTGTGATATACGTGATCGGGCCCCCATCCCGGTGCAATTACGCACAGTCCTTGTGGGGTTGCGACACAACTCGATACGAAACACAAAATTCTGGACTGGCGTTGGCAGCTGACTTAATGTGAGGATGCCTTGCAATGCACTTAAAACTATTTTTCTTCATGGACAGATTCCAATGCATGTACAGAAGGACAGCACTTGATATGGGATGACTCAAGACAATACAAAAATGCTTTAAATACAGCAACTTACATTTCCTCAATTAGACCACAGGTTGGCTGTATTTAGGTCAAGATAGTGGTCAGGAAATTAAATTCTTCCTTTTTTCTTTTATAGCTGTGCTGGTTTTGGCTGGGATAGAGTTAATTTTCTTCATAGTAGCTACTATGGGGCTATGTTTTGGATTTGTGCTGGAAACAGCACTGGTAATGCAGGGATGTTTTAGTTACTGCTGAGCAGGGCTTACACAGTGCCAAGGCCTCTTCTGCTCCTCACCCCACCCCACCAGTGAGCAGGCTGGGGGGACACAAGGAGCTGGGAGGGGGCACAGCCGGGACAGCTGACCCCAACTGACCACAGGGATATCCCACAGCATGTGATGTCATGCTCAGTATAAAAAGCTGGGGGAAGAAGAAGGAAGTGGCGGGACATTTGGAGTGATGGCGTTTGTCTTCCCAAGTCACCGTTAGGCGTGATGGAGCCCTGCTTTCCTAGGGATGGCTGAACACCTGCCTGCCCGTGGGAAGCAGTGAATGAACTCCTTGGTTTGATTTGCTTGCCTGTGGGGCTTTTGCTTTACTTTACTGTCTTTATCTCAACCCATGAGTCTTCTCACTTTTACCCTTCCAATTCTCACCCCCATCCCACCGCGGGGGAGTGAGCGAGCGGCTGCGTGGGGCCAAGTTGCTGGCTGGGGTTAAACCGTGACAGTAGTTAGTATATTCTAAACACATCAAAGCTTGAAGTAATTCTCATGTGAATTTTAAACCTTGTTCTTCCATGTCCCTTCTCAGAACTGAGATCATCACGATAACCGTTCTGATTTGCTGAATCTCAGGGAGAACGGAAATTTCTTAGAAGCCAATTCTCTACCACATAAATAGTGTAAAAGGGAGCCTGTGCACAGGGATGAAGCTGGAGCACTCACCGCAGCTTTGTGCTTTAACTGGATTTATGTCCCTCTGCAGCATAGGCATACATGAGCAAAGTCCCCAATTCCACCCCCAAGCACCTTTCTTGCAATGAAAGTTTATTTTTGCACAATATTTTTAAAATCCTTCTCTCCATGCTTTTGCGTAAGGAGTTGTGATCTGAGTCAGCACAGGTCCATCAGCTCTGCTGGATGCACATTAATATACAAGAAAACTTTTGGGCCTGGCTCCTGGCATGTATTTTGGGTTGGGGAAGCTGTTTCTGTTATTCATGTATATATTTTAATTCCTCTCCCTGCCCCTTCACCACCCCAAGCCCTGGGGGCATCCATGGCCCTGCAGCCAGGATGGGCCGGGAGCATCTCCAGCCTGCAAAAAAGGGCCTGTGCAGTATGTAAGTTTTAAGGATTTGTTGCTCTCATCTCTTTTCATTTCTGAGTTTATTAAAGTGCAAATGTCAACCATGGAGACAGCTATCACATGCAGTGCTGAGAACCACTTTCCACACCATAAATGGAAGGTAAAAGGCTTTGTTGTGATTATCTAATGCAGTTACTTGCACAAAGGACAAAACTGAACCTAGGCTCTTTGCCCTTTCACAACAGCTGGCCCCCGAAAGTACTGAAGCAATTAATTTGAGCACAAAACCTTCGCCAATCCATCAGTTGACAAAATAGAAAATACCAAGGAAGATGGAGTATTTATAGACCTCAGGATTTTTTTCCGAGCTTCGTGTTAGTGATATGTTTGAAGGGATGCTTATACTCAGAGCTTTTTAAAGTTCAGTATTTTAACAAAAAAGAAATCATAAATACATAATACCATAAATCATAAATACTCCTTATAGTATGAACAAAGTATTGCAATGGACTAGTCTGGTTCGTCTCTCACAGAGCTGAGGTTTGTCTGCCCAGAGATGCTGGGCCACAGACACTACAGTTATCCTGGGGTTCAGTTTTGCTTTGTGCGCTACAAGAAAAAAAACCCCAAATGCATTGAGGTACAAAACACGTGAATACAACATGATACAGAACACATGAACATGCTTTCAGCAACGAGAATAAATATTACCACATTTACAGTATTTACTTCACAGTTTTGTGAGATGAGGATAAATAAACTCTTTCAAAACTGGAAAAAAACCATAGAGATGAGCCTTAAAAACAAACTATGATTTGT